TGGAGGCGGTGGTGGCGGTGCGGTATTCTGCGCATAACTCTGCATCGACATCATCGCTTGCTGCTGCTGTTGCTGTTGTTGTTGCTGCCTATGTTGTCGATGTTGTTCCAATGTTGGTTGTTGATTTACCAGTGAATTCACACGAGGATCGTTACCCATGATCGGTTGAACCATGTGAGACTGCACAGATTTAAGCCGCGTGTTTTGCATCTGTACGGAAGACACCTTTGTTAGTTGTGACTCCATCTCTGGTTTAGTGTGTATATATTGCGGAGGATCAACCTGCATTCCTTGAACTGGTTGAGGTGGTGCCGAAATATGCCGATGGTTAATGTGAGCCTTAAATATAATAAATTAGAAAAAGTGTTAAATTTATGTCAACGCATCTGGATAATCTAATAATATTTTTAGGTCGATATTCATAGTCATTTCTTATATTTAAGTGTCTAAATTTAATAATCTTAAAATATCACAAACCAATCATAGAGTGGTATTTATAGTCAGATGTTATAATATATTCCAGATTGTTTTAAGCTTGATTCTATATAATCTTAAGATTCCATTTAATAAAACAATTGTACAGTCAACGATTGATTTCAATATTATATTCAAAACAATTTTAAAGTACAAGATTAGACTGTAATATCATCCGTAGAACTGTATTAGTATCTTAACAGAAGTAATAAAAGTACCAAATTTTTTTAATCATTAAAAAGACCAAAATAAATTACTATAAAAATAAAGAGATAAAAAATACATTAATGTAAGAATAATTATTGAAAAATTAAAAAATTCAGAATCCTATCTTTTACGCAAGAAATATAATATTAATCTAAAAAAATAAAAACAGTCAATGACTCAGTACTTCTAGTGTTAAAGACTTAAGATGTTACTTAAGACAGTCATGAAATAAAGATGAAATAAAGATTATAAATACCAACTTGAAAGATTAAATTTTACTACATCATTAATTATTAATCGTACGAAAATTTTCTTGTGTATTTATAATATACAATTTTATCAATATTTTCATTTACCTGTAGATCTCGTTGGCTCAAGTATGTTCTTCTACAACCAGCATTTCCATATCTTGTTCCACCATGTGTACACATGAATACAGTACCCAGGCCAGTTTGCTCCACTCTAGATACTTTCTCCATACAACGAGGGCAGACTTTATCTTCTCTCTTGGCACAAGATAGGCAGAAAACATGTTTGCAAGGTATCTAAAAAATATATTAAATACATTAGGAGCAAAAGTTAAAGCCAAAAATTAGAAAGATGCACGTGAGAATGATTGATTCATAATCGATGGATTTCGAATTTAATCGCGAATCTCAACTTCTGCTGAAGCATCGGGTGATTCGACGTTCGGTCTATGAACTAACAATCTGTGGATCCAGGTTCAATCCCATCCTAACACATACACAACATTTTTCCTGCATTTAAGCTATGCTCTATCTACGAGTTAGAACCTCAACGGAGATTTAGATTAAGGAGTACTATTTGCTACATTAATTACATATCCCTCTAATTAAAAAGACAAGTTTAATTAAGTGTATGCAATACTTAAAAATAAGTTGACATTTTACTGATTAATTTGACTCCGCTGGAATCAAAGGTCAATTAAAAAAGAAAACTTTCAGCTTATATGTTTCGCTTTGAAGATTGTGAGTGAAGGAGTATAAGGGATGACACATGCATCAAACTCAATAAGATTTGATACAAGAAATGGATTTGGTCCATTCTAATAACAAAACTAATAACAAAACGTACCATACGACCATAGATGAGAATAGGTTTCAAACATTTGTCACAGCAATGTATCATAGGATTCAATACTTTCTCTCCTATAAGATTCACCCGATGGTCCCATCTCAAACGCAGCATCGGCTCAGGTGGTCCACGATTGATGGTCGTGAAAGTCGGTGCTTCTAGCTGTGATATATCAGCCTCCAAGTCGAACTGTTGCTCGAGAGAAGGTTGCTGAGTCACAGGAGGTTCATGTTCATTCTGCTCCCCACCAGCTGTTTCTGTAGAAGTATCCTCCGTTTGTTGCGGAGTCTCTTCTTCATCGCTTTCTATAACCTACAAGCAATTCAATGCATAAATATTTTATATTAAATTAAAATTATTAAAACATTATTTTACATTTATAGTTTAGATTAATACGCACAAAAATTTGCCTTATATATTATGGGAAAAAGTTCGTGGCATTTTTCCCGTTAGTTTTTTTAATGCCCATGGCATTAAAAAAACGCCACGAACTTTTTCCCACACCTAATACAATATCTAAGAAAATGCAATGATATAATCAATTATGATAATAAAATAATACATATATTGTATTAAATAATGTGACAATATCATTATTAAGTATTAATTGCTTAAAATATTTATATATTATTACATTAAACTTTGTACTTTTATATAAGAGCTTTTAGTACTAATTCAGTATAATGTAAGTAACTGAATTTATTATATATAAATATAGATTTTAGAAAAAGTGGATTGTATAATTTATTAAAGTTAGTTTTATATAAATAATTGTATAAGTCTCTATCATTTTATGTAAATATTATATTGAGGAATAATTGACAAAAATATTTGTACTGATTTTTTAACATAACACTTTTGATCTAAAACTGATTTACCTTAACTTGCTTCTTGGATCTTCCTCTGGAAGCCCGACCCCCTCGGGTACGTCCACGACCTCGGCCACGAGCTCTGCCCCTCATTCTTTTACCTCCATTCTCCTCCATCCCTGAAATCAATACATTATAATTGGATTGCTACATTCAATATCTCAACAAATTTTGTTATAAATACAAATCAATTCTTCTTACAAGAATTTATTTTCTTTAAAACAAAAAAAGGATAATTATCAACAATTTATTCGTGCATTATTTGTAGCTAATCAATGAAATGCAAGTATTCACAAATATAATTTTTAAAGATGATTAGAAGATAAAATTTAGAAGTTAAAGATTGAGAATAATAAAATATACATTCTGAATCTGAATCTGAGTCAGAAAAAATTTTCATGTTGTTGATTTAACTTCTTCTCGCGGAATTCCTGGTATTTCGTGATCGGCAATTGTATCTCAAATGAAACGTTAAGGTTATGTTCTGATCGTTACTCTGGCGCTTCTCGAGGATAAAGGCGACGAAGGGCAAGACTGTCACTGGCGATACTCACAATTGATATTTGACGATTAAATGTTTGTTTTGCCTCAAGCCGTCAAAAAAACTGTTTTCACAACATGCCGTTGGTAATATGCGCGACTCAACCTTGCAATATAATCTTATAACATTGTTGATATGTGACACGTAATAAACGGATTGCCTTTCAGGCACATGAGCGACATGAGTGTTCAAGTTTGACACCACAAGAAGGTTTCTCTCTGCCCGTATCAAGTGCACGATGTAAACTAGGCCAGTGCATAAGCGAATCAACTAATCAGAATCTTTCTTTTCTTCTCATTCCATGAAAAAGAAAATTTCGATTTCCTTAGCTCGAATATAATCAGTATAATCAGTAGGGACACTCCGTGTCCTTGCATCTCAAGGTTGGCACCTTGGATCTCTGCGTTGCAGTCACATGAACATCCGCCATGTTAACATTTGAAAAATCCAGGACTGAAAGAGGATATAATGCCATGCGATAGTCCATTGCTTTGCTCTAAAAAATAATTTAAAATGCCGTGTAAACATAGTCAATGTAAAAATATCAATGTATAAATATTATCTTTTTTCACAAAATTACATTTGATTATGTTTAATTAAGTTAACCTAGCATAAACTCCTTACTTTTTGTAAAAAAATTTACCTTACGATATCTTTGGGATAACGAAAAAAAGTGCATTGTGAATTTTTACTATTATTACATTGCATTGTTTAATACTGCACGTAACATAATTTTTCTTTTTTTTATACATTTTTTAGAAATATTTGGCGCAGCTCTTAAATTGTCTTCTTTTGCCACGGATATCTGCTCACACAGGATCTGTGTAATATGTACGTTCTTGCCATCTTGCATTTCATTGGATTCGGTCCTAAACAAAAGCTGCACAGTCATACCGTTCGCTACGCGAACAGTACATTTTTTGAGTATTTCTACTGCTTATACTGTGGCTCGAATCTACAATAGATTTTTAAGTCTTAAGTCTTAAGTTAAGGAATGGACAAATCACAATCACTTATTCTTCCTTCGACAGTAGTTGATCAATTTCTTACGACTTAAAGCTTAAAATACTTAGGGCACGTACGATCAACGTGATGCTACACACTCTTTGAAGCGTTTTTTAATTGATCAGTTTGTAAAATTCTTTCTTCTAATTGGTCCATCAAATGCTTCAAAGCATTTGTATCTAGACTTTGATCACCGTCATGGACACTTGCTTACAAGTGCTATAAGCGCCAAAGCGAACGCAGCCATTGTGTATGCGTGGCTATGGGTGTGGTCTCATTGTAAATGCTTTGATTGACCAATCGGAAAAAAGAATATTAAAAATTGGCTTATCAAAGAATATTTCAAAGCACTCGTAGCATCGACTCCCCGATGTCCCCGATAATCTCCATGGACCCCATGTGATGTACGCGTTCGTTGCCGTGGAAACGACGATATTACGTCGGAACGCGGATCACAGGACCGTCTACGATGATTGTGACGCCCGGTATAAAAAATTATGTGAACTTTGAAATTTCCGACTGACTTTATAAAATGATCTCTACGTGAATTTGCGACAACGACAATTAGAAAAAGATAAAGAGTATATTAAAGTGATATATATTGGTAAAAATCAATAAAAACGAATTTAAATTACGAGTGAAAATAGAACGTTTGTTAATGGACAACATCAATTGGGAATCTCGTTTATTATCATTCCTACGACACTGAACGTAGTTGTACTCCCAATACTGTGAATCAAAAGGGACGCGCGGCGGCAACAATAACGACTCTGCTGGAACAAGTGTCTTATCAATCTTGTACAACGGTGCAGTGATATCGATGAAAATGTCTTGCTGCGCCGGTAGCAAGAATGAGGAACGCACCGAGCCGACACGAGTACGGGGATGCACGGATGTTTTTTGGCTGTGCTTTTTCATAGCGTTCTGGTTTCTTATGGTATGTTTATACATAGTTGACGCTGTGTATATCTGATGTCATGCATTAATTTCCTTTTTTTACATAACAGACACATTTGCAACAATATTTTGACATATTTCGAAATATATTTCGAGGTATCTGAATTACCGCTGATTCTTCAAGAATATAGTTTCTACAAAGTGTCTGTTAGAAATTTTATTGGTAGCAGGATTGATAAAAACTAATGTTTTTTTAAGAATAAAACTGTGTTTCTTCTTAAATATGTTTTTAATGCTTCAAATATGCTTTAAACAGTATCATAAAAAAACATTTAAAACATCAATAAAGCATGTTTAAAACATGTTTAAAACAGGTTTTTAACTCTGATTGGTAGAGAAGCAACAGATTTAATATAAAATCTATGACATATATGTGTATATGTTCTTTGTATCTAACGTAAACTAATGTACATTTATTGTATTTGAAAAGAAAATTAAATTTCAAGTTTCAAAAATAGATAGCAAGTTTTAGTGTAGCGACAAAGAACAGGTTGTTGCAGAGTGCTAGTAGGGATATAGCAAAGTTTGTCAGTAAGATGCAACGGTAGATTAATAGCTAAAATTAAGCAAAATTTGCTTATTGTATAATTATTATACAGGTTATATACATATATAGGAATCTATGACTTGCTATTAAGATTGACAATAATTAACTTATAATTAGTAGTGATGAGACTTATGATGACATAACAATTATACTGACACACATATGTATATATATATATATAAACTTTGACAGCATTCTCATAATTTATTGCAAAAGATATTTTTTCATTTTAGTTTTTATAAATAAACTTAAAATTTATCATAATATAATGCAACAATTTATTTGTTTACAGATCTTAATTGCTGCCTTTGCAATAGTTTATGGCAATCCTTTGCGACTCATAAATGGATACGACAGTTTTGGGAACACGTGTGGCATGAAGAATAATCCACAGTTTGGCAGCATGGAACTTTCTGGACAAGATACCAGCGACAAACCGTCAGTCACATATATTTCTTCCTAATTGAGCCAATTGAGCATTCATTCCTGTAATAATACTTCAAATAAATATGTTATATTCCAGATACTTATTTTTCCTGGATATAAATAATGTCACGCAGTCATTGAAGATTTGTGTAAAGAAATGTCCCGACAGAATTTTGCGGACAATGGAAGATATCTGTAAATTTTACAAAGAGACAGGATCACAATTGTGCCACGATAGACCGGGCGGTGATTTCAGTGCGTGCAACAGCGAGAGTAGTATATTCAAGAACGGATCTTGCCCTGAACGACCGGTTTACCCAAGTATACCTGTTTTAAATCGATGTATCCCTAAGGCAGTGAAGGAAGTGAGCGAAACAATAATCTCAAATTTATATGGTTTAATCAATTCGTGGGATGTTATTGAACAGGTTTTGGGAGACTTATGTAAAACCTGGAAGCAAATTCTGGCATTATCTTTTGTTGCCTGTGGTAAGAATTTAGTATACTATTGCATGATAACATAGCGTAGAAGCTGTATATAGATTGTACTTAACTAATCTTTTTGTTTCAGTTTTATCACTCTTTACAATAGCTATTTTTCATTTATTGGCAAGTGTTGTAACATGGATTATAATCGTACTTGTAAGCATTGCTTCCACAGGTAAGTTGCATTTTGGAAAATTATAAACTTACAAGGAAATCTAGCTTTTCAATAAATGTATACATACATGTCACAAATTAGCTTATAAATGAACAATGTTTGCAGACAATAAATAAATATATATCAATAAGTGTATGTGCATTTTTTGCAGAAAGGAATTATTATTAAAATAAAAACAAGAAAGATTTCTCAAGATAATATTTTTATGAAATTGTAATAATTGTTTAAATATTGTATATCTATTGTTGATCAATGATTGTTGGTTAAATAAACATAGAAATAAATTGAGCTATTAGCTATTTGAATTTGAAAATGCACATGTAGTACTTAGAAAATTTAATACTTATCTTTTTAAAACTTTTAGTGAATCTCACTCTGAAAATAAAATCTTGCTCTTAAAGATTAAAAATTTCCCATTTTTTTCATAGCTTAATTTGCACTCCTTAGAGTGAGAGCTCATTTCAAAGAATTTAGAAAATAGCTTTGACTAATAAAAGGATATAACATTTTTTATTTTACTTACTATTTTTTAGTTTTGAAAATATATATAGATGCTATGAATATATCTGTGTCTTTATATTTTAAAGAATTAGTTGTAGAATATAAAATTGAATATAAAAAATAGTTTATAAATTTAAATTATAAATGTTATATTTGTGTTTTTATCTTTTTTTAAATTACTTATGTATATGTCTATACAAATTATTATAGATAATAAATCTCAAAACTTATCTTATATTTGATATATTAAGCAGATTTTATTACAAAAAAGTAATAAGGGCATTTTTATTACAGTGGGTACAATTCTTTTGTGGATGACATATGTTGATATTAAGAAAACCTTGGACAAAACTGATCCAAATCAACTTCTTGAAGAAGCTGTCAGAAATGAAAGAGCATTTCTCGCATTTTCCATTATCGCTACTATTATCACTGTAAGTGTTATTCTATAATGAAAAAGAT